TGCTGACTGCCATTGGCGATTGCCAAATAAATTGATCACCAGTACAAAATGGATCTTAATATTAATTTAATACCAAACAGAAAACAATAAACTTTTGGAAAAGATGGTATACCACAAACACGACGTGCAAATTTTTTTTTTACACCATATCCGGATTCGACAATTAATGTCTCTTCAGTGATGTTAGGGATCGAAACGGTATTTGGAAGGCCATATAATTTACTATTATAATTTAATATATATATATATATATTACATGTGAAACTTTGAAATGTTGTTTTGTATATTATCATATGATTGGTAACATATGATTTGTAATGGAGAACACTAATGTAATATTAGTTATCTTAATAAATAATCTGATTATTCCAAATCAGATATACATGTACAGCATGAATACAGATATTGCAATAAAAGTACCACAAAATATAAAGGACAAAATTTATAGAAGTGAACACATATTTATGACTATATTAGGCCAGACTTAAATATTTCTGTTTGCCCAAACCCTACCCACCAGTCTCAGGTGTGGGGAGATAGGTAGGGAAATTTTTTTTTTTTTTTTTTTTAATATTTAAGAGAAAAATAGGGGTCAAAATGGTTTTACCTTGTAAACAACTTTTAAAATGAGACTATTACAGAGTTTTGTGTAAATTGTCAGACGCATATATGCCAGGATATATACATGTATGTACATAAAATATATGCAAAAACTAGTAAAATTAAAAGGGGCAGCTTGTCTTGCAGTCTGCTCCAAACCAGTCAAAAATCTTTAGTATTTAGGTGTCGACAACAGCATTCACACATATATATACTAGTATTTATTGTAATCTTCATCCTTGAAGATTTTAGAAGTTGCTCAAATATATGAGTATCGTACGCTGTACGCTTAGGTGCCAAGTGTTGTAATAATTTAGGCTGGTTGCATTATTTCATTTGCCTAAAACCATTGGCCATACTGGTTCCTGGGCTACAGTTGATTCTAAATTATGGTTGATATTTATAAATGATAGTACAGAGAACAAAAATTATAGTACAGGTAGAACTTCAGTTAACATGAACACTGGGACTTATTTGAAATGTTATGCTTTTGATTATGAGGGTAGATGTTGTTAAACAGCTTGTTTTATCAGCATGTTGGGTTTTTTTTGTAACGCAGGTCATCCTATTATAACTTGTCCTAACAGGCACACATTTACCATGTTTACATTGCATAATCTAGGTTTCAGGTCACCTAGACCTCAAATGGAAATAATTTCTCATTTGGGCAACCTGGTTCAAACCCAAGACAGAGAGAGACCTGCTAAATAATGCATTTATGGGACAAGGGACATACCCCAATAAAAGTTAAGTGGTTGCTGCTGATATACTAAATGTTTGTTTCTTTTTACACGAATTCTAGTATACAGGTACTCATTGTCATTCTTTTAAATTTGCCTTTGCCTGATTTGATCCAGTTATTCTTGCCTTGTATTTATGAGCAGTTTATTACGTTATAAGAAATTCGCTTCAACATAGACATATTATACATTCAGGTATTTCACATCCAATCTTTTATGGTAATATTCTTTACAAAGCACAAAAATGTCGGCATCTACCTCAAAAGCTTACAAAAACATTAAAGCAAACTTATGAAGAAGGAATATTGTTGCCAGTGATAAAAAATGGCATATTTTGGCTTCAATATAACTTCACTTACAGGGTCTTTGCATCGGACATAAACACATTTATTCTTAAACCAGTTGCTGGTATGATACGGGTTATGCTCCACTCGTATATTTTATGATGATGGTATGATACTAAACCCCTAATGGAAGGGATTGTGCAAGATATTTCATATAATGAAGACATAATCTTTCAAACAGTTAAATTGAGGTCTGGAGCTGGCATGTCAGTAACTGCTAGTAGTCCTTTGTTAATTTATGTAATATTGTCATTTTCAATTTTTGTTTTGTTTGTTTTGTTACCTATTCTGACATCGGAGTCAGACTTCGTTAAACTGAGTTTTACTGTGCGTATTGCTGTGTGTTTGTTTCTTCTTCATTGGCTAGAGATATAGGAGGAGGGTTGAGATTTCAAAAAACATGTTTAACCCCGCCGCATTTTAGTGCCTATCCCAAGTCTGGAGCCTCTGGCCTTTGTTAGCCTTGTATGAATTTTTATTTTAGTTCATTTATATATTTCGGAGTTAGTATGATATTCATTATCACTGATCTGGTACAAATTTTTCATAATGGCTGAAGCCATTTCTGGTTTTTAGGTGGATCGCTTCAGGCGTTTATCCTGCTCTAATCCCACTGGAATTTATTACTGTTATTTCAGACCTTTAGTAACCAGTTCGATTGTAAGTTCCATAGCACCCAGCGCATACAGATGTATCAGAGATGACAGTCTTTTTTTTTTCATGAGTTCAGATCTCTTAATGTTCTAATGAATACATTGCCTATCCCTCTCTGTGAATTGTTAAGGTATTGCTTACTTGTATCTCTCTCAATAAAAATTGTGACATTACTAATTTACTAGCTTTGGATATTTTTTTTTAGTATTAACAATTATGAGGATGTGTCGCGAAAATTTGAGGTTTGGCAGTTTTTTAGAAGGTATTAAACACTCCAGGCCTAAGAACAACGATTTACGTTTACCAATAACCAGAGTCATGCTGAAGTCTAGCAAATTTTTCATTATCTTGTGTTGGTTAAACTTGGTATGAATTAAGTGTGTTTAAAGTTGTCTTTTCACTTGCTTTTCGTGGATTATTGAAGGGTCGGAGATCCAATGCTTACAACTTAATACAAGGGTTACATAAGAATTTTTTTCTCAATTAATTATGCTTTAAATTGTATTTGTATTATATATGTAACATTATACTTTCATGTAGCTAATTGCTCTACAAGTATTGTAGGAGATCCTATAATGTTTGGATAGTAGGATCCTCTATAGTAAGCATGTTTTTGTAGCAGCCCGATATCCTCCAGATGGGGTTAACTTAGGTCTAGGGCGCTGAAATGAATCTTTGTGGTGGCATGATTGTCAAGCATGTTTAAAGTTAACTAAGAACAATGAAACTATGAGGATCCACAATATTTCTTAATAAAACATGTAGCAGGTAATGACATAGGTAGTTCTAGAGTGGGTTTTTTGTACAATGAGATAAAGAACATGATCAGATGGATTATGCAGAAGTTCATCAATTCTTAAGTAAGTATGGTCTCAAATTTGACCAGGTTATTGCAAAGCTATGGACTTGTGTTGCTATAGAATATACAACTATATTACTGCCTTTTTAATTAGCTGTGGGGGTTGCTACATAAAATACCATGATATTCGATCAGATCAGAATTTTTTCAACCGGATGGTTTTCACTTGTCACCCTTAACATGCTTAAGAAATGAATTGTGGTTAAACATCTTGAAAGGTGCAATGGAACGTTTCATTCAAAAAAAGGATAGTGCTTACACTTTTCCGTGTTAGTTATATATTTGATGATATACTATAATATACTATATTTTATGATATACAAATACAATCAACTATCTTATGGTTTGGTGTAGTTTTGGTTAGTATTTTTATCTGTGTAGGTAAATATGTTTTAGAACAGTTGTTCGCAAAACATCATATAGATTATTTAACATGTATATATGTACCAAGTTGTACTTTAAAATAAAAATATCTATCTATCTATCTATAGTTATCTGGTTCACAGCTTTGCAGCGAACCGCCCTTTTTATGGCGGTTGACAGAGTCTCTGTTTTCCTCTGTCAATGTGGCAGAATTCGCTGCATATAATCTTAATGTTAACTATGACATTTTAGGTTTTTGGATAATACAGACTACAACCGTGTATCCCACGGTGCATTCTAAATTTAAAGCACCAGTGTATCCCACGGTGCATCTTTACATTTTCATATATATCTATTATCTATCTGCAAGGTTGTCATATTATCTTCAGGTAACCAACCATATATCTATCTACATATACATCTATCTATCTAATTATATATATATATCATATGAATCTATATTATGAATAAAAGCTGTGGCCAGATATCGCCAATCCATATATGTATTTTGTTTTAATGGCACCATCTGAGATAACTCATAAAGGAAATCCTATATCGTTGTATCTGTTGTGATTATTTTATAAAACATACTGACTCAACCTAAACAGTTGTAGAATATTCTTCATTTATTTCTAAGAATGTTGATTTAGGTATTGAAATAGTGTACATCTGCAATTGTAAATTGTTGAAAATTATGTCAGTATTTTGGCGAGTTTGGCTTGAAAGTTCCAAGGATTACCGTGTTCATTCACACAAAAACACTTCGGTACTGGCATGGACATATTGATATTATTTATTGAAATTTGTTGCCATACAATTTTGAAAATTATTTTAAATTAAAAAATTCCCTCATGCATAACTCGGATTACTTGTTTAGATTTAACTAGTCTTTTTGTCCTTTTTGGATTTTTCAGCTCTTTATGACGGATGCCACTAATGGGGTAGTATCTTCTTTACCTTCTGGAGTAGCTAAGATCACCCCCAGTTTTTGGTGGGGTTCATATTGCTCAGACTTTAGTTTTCTATGTAGTGTTTGTGAACTTCTTTTGTCTTTTTGTCGTATTTCGTTTTCTGACATGGTGTTGCCAGTTTCTCTTCGACTTTGAGTCTTGAATATCCCCTAATTCGTATCTTTCGCCTTTTTTCTCCATATTTACATTGGGTTTTTGCCTCGAGCGCCACTGAGGACACATTAATTGTCAAAATACGCATCTGGTGTCATAACTATTTTGAAAAGTGAAATCGAAAAAAGAATTTTAAAGATCGATTCCAAATTGTTTTGGTAGGAGTAAAATTAAAAAATCTGGTAAAGAAATAAAGTGGTACAGTACACTGTAAATATTTAACTACTTAAAGTCACGTCAGTTCACTGTCAACTCTTTAATTTTATCATTATTTTGTTTTGACATACTTATTTGAGTCTAAACAAATAACAAAGAGTAATAATTAATTATTTTTACTATTGATAATACATATTTTGAAAATTGTATATAAGTATACCTGGTCTAGTATCAACGATGTCCAGTTTCTTATCAACAATAATATCACATTTACACTATAACTTTAAATATATGTTTGCTTATATTCTTGCTTTAATGAACATAAACTCTATGACTGTATAAAACGCAACCATTTTCTATGAAAGCATTTTAAGTAAAACTGTATATTTAAACAGAACTCAAATATTATTTGCCGTAAGTTCGTAATGATGAGTTGAGTTATTTCTGAAGTTCCCATTCTTCTTCCTTGAATTACAACACCCGAAACAGAGTTCATATAACGTTTGTTTAAATTCTGCACTCATACTACAGTAAATAAAAAAGTTCATTGGATATGAAAAAATGATCACCAGGTTAGCAATTATTTGCATGCTATTTAAAGTATTCACATCGAATACTTGTACATTAGTAATGTAAGGCGACACGTAAAAGCTCAATATGATACCACTTGGAAGCTCTACGAGCAGAGTAACAGCAGCCATAAACACTATCATTATAGTAACTCTTGTATTCTCTTTGACGGCAGATATACTACTTTCCGACTTATTGTGAAGACGCATCTTTTTATTAACCACATCCTGTAAGCCATGAACGATTCTGACATTCAGAACAATCAGCACAATGCAAGGCACAAATTGAATCAAAACAATACGTATCATCATATAGACTCCCATGTAAGTGTCCGGGTCTAGCCATTCCTTGTAACCACGGTCGCATGTCGTTGCACTTGTGTTTCGTGTGGGGTCGAAATAGTCAAACTGATAGTAATCAATCACAAAGGCTCGCACGAGATGTGTTAAACACGCAATGACATAGGTTAGAGTGATGGATATCGTTGTATTCCGAAGCGTACACAATTCACGAGCTACAAACGGATGGCAGACATACAAGTATCTCTGTGCAGTGAGGAGTACCGTCAGCCATATTGAAGCAGTATGAGTAATTGTTGGTAGGTAGATAGAAATCCAGTCTACCGGTTCACATAATACATAATCAACGTAGTAATGATGTAAGGCATACTGGTAGAAATAAAATGGTGCAGGCAATAGTAATGTTAACGTGTCAGAAATGGCAACACTTACCAAACCTGCTTGACTCGCTCCATAGGTCTGCTGTCTTCTCAACACTAGTATAACTATCACATTTGCAATCAAAACGACGATTGCTAAAATTGGTACAACGTATCCATTTACAATAACTAAATAACCTTTTACGTTTGGAAGGACATGGAGTCCCATTTCCGTAGAAAAGTTAGAACTTAAATTCATAGTTTTGTTGATCATGTCTAGTAGCTGTGCTGTCTGGTTAGCCTCCGCGTTATATTTCATGATCAAACAACATTTCAGCGAAGGAAACTTCTGTTTTTTATGTTTTATAATCTTTCCGAAATTTTATGTAGTATTTCCTAGAGTAAATGGAAATATCTTCCTTTAATCCTCGAAAAATACTTTCGAGTTCTTTTTAAAGGCACTTTTTTGTTTGCTGAAGAAAAGTATGATCCATTATAGTAATTCTCCGTGTGAAAACAGATTAAGATAAGTTACTAACCATCTATACGTCTTCTCTTATCTGATAGTTAGGAATTATTTTCCACGTATTTATATTGCTCGCGAAAAAGAAACCTTGTTCGATTGTAATTATTTCCGATACCTTGATTTTCATCAATGTTCTTATAAAAGATGTCTATTTGATATTGATTGCAACACAGAGTGGTGGAATAAAATATGATCATCGATGATTGGACGTTACCTCTAATTGGCAAACCTCATCCATAGAATATTTTCGTGAAACACAAGATTTATAAGTATCCAATGAGCTAATCACATTTATATGTAAACATAGTTCTTTAGTCGCTTTTTGTTGTTGCGTTCTCTCGATATGTAGACATATGTCGAGAGATGCACGTTTTAAAATTTGTAAATCACGAGACTTTTATCGTCTTAAATGAAGCAATGACATGCATGTTCTCTTTTAGGGGTAATTTCTAAAGCGACGTCAAATTAATGACCATCTAAGCGATACAATAAGATCAATCAGCGACTTCTTTAAATGTTATAAATTGAGTTATATTCCTATGAAAGTGTAATCGAAATGCCTATCCATAAGCAGCATTGTTACAACTGTTCAATCAAAATTCTTGTTCCCAGTAGAGTTATTTAATGTCATTCCGATTAAGTATGGGATGTCCTTCTATATGGTAAATATTGCGTTCAGTCATTTTCGTTTCGTTGATTTCGATTAAAAATTACTCATTTCATACTGCAATTTAAACTATACTTCTTAAACTCACGCAAATAAAATTCATACTTAAGCCATTAACTTTCCAGACAAGTTGTCTTAAAATTCATCTCTTGTAATGCATTTTGTCCGATCTGTCGTAAATAAGATATTTCATTGTTAAAGGTTGGAAACCGTGTTTAAATGCGTTTCACAAAACGAATGAGCTATTCGCCTTTTACAACTTCTCCATTACATGCCTAACTACTGATTTAGACTATAATGTGCAAATGGGCACGTTCAGTCAGAGAGAAATGGTTTGTATGAACTATTAAGTCGAACGCGAAATCAATTTAGTAATAACGTATGCATTAAACGAATTCCATAATTTCTGAAAATTGTTGACAGTGTAAATCAATTTATGGTGAACTTTAAAAATTAATAATCAGTGGTTTAATATTCTTTATCAAATTGCTACACTATACATTTCAATTTTGCTCTCATTGATACGAAATATAGTTTGTGTTGCTAAGTGACAATTATGCATAATCAGAAGTACTAACTAACATACGCTGTATATATATACAAATTTACAATATATACTTCAACCATTTACTTTGTCTGTTTTTACTTTACTATGTTGTCCAAATTAATTTTAATTCGTGTTATTTTGTTTGTAATTTTACTTTTATTGCTATAGTGTTTGGTGTTCGCGATTTTTTTTTTGGATTTTTTTTGGTGGGTCTTATAACATATAACTAAAACAATCGGACTTGGCAGCTTAAAGGGGTCGACCTAGGGTATGGGAGACCACTCTTACAAATGTATTAGAAATCATTTGTGTATTTTAACGTACCTTTTAATGGTGTAAATATTAAAAGAAATTAAACGAGAGGAAAATTGTGAGGTTATCAAGGCCTACCTCCTTACAGTGTTATACTTATGTAAAACACTAATTCCTTTTACATTGGGGAGATTAGGATGTCTTCGAAAAACAATGTTTTTCTTAGCAAATATTGATATCTTTATATTTATGAGTGAATCTGATATTTTATTCCACTATTATTCAATCATCATACTTTAATATTGCCGAAAAAGAACTACCCTTCTTTCTATAAACATATAGCAAAAACAAACAACAATAAATTAAAGATAAAAGCACCTTCTATTTATTCAAGTTGTAACAAAAGGGTATGACTTCATGTCTTGAAATCTGTTAAAATATTTATGATGATGATTTTGACACATACACGTCTTACAAGAAAAAATGAAGACATACAACACGTCCAGTGCAAATGTAGATTAGGGAAATATTACATTGGAAGACGACATTGAGATTTCTTCCTTGTCATTCCGAGTAACTATGCTACCCCTGATGCCACAAATTCTTATTACTGTTAAGTTAAACAAATAACGGCAGCCTCACAGTAAGCACGATGGTTTGCTCAGTCACGTGGGATAATCTTATTTATTAATAATTCACAAAGTACATTGTAGCAAAAGTGTGCCCGACCGACGAGGTCAATCATCAGTGTCAAGAGGATTTTGATTTTAATCAATAGTTTCACGGAGGCTATCGTTGCTTGAATGATCGAGACAAATTATGTGTTAAGGATGATCGTACATATGCATGCCAATTTTTCATTGTGACTATCCCATCATCCTTCTTCTTACCGAGGGGACGTTAGATTGGATATTCATTTTATTTTGTTTTGTTTCCCAAGAGTATTTAAAGATTTTTTTTTGTACAATTTCTTAAATTGCATGAAATATTTGTCACTGGACGTTAATCCATTATATGTCTTTTTACTTTTTAGCTCACCGGGGCCCGAAGGGCCCCATGTGAGCTTATGCCATCACTAAGCGTCCGTCGTCTGTCGTCGTCGTAAACTATTTCAAAAATCTTCTCCTCTGAAACTGCTGGGCCAAATACCTTTAAACTTGAACTAAATGTTTCTTAGGGTATCTAGTTTATAAATTGTATCCGAAGTTTTGATCCATCGACAAACATGGCCGCCATGGCTAAAAATAGAACATAGGGGTCAAATGCAGTTTTTGGCTTATATCTCAAAAACTAAAGCTTTAGAGCAAATCTGACATGGGAAAAAATTGTTTAGTTGGTCAAGATCTATCAGCTCTGAAATTTTCAGACGAATCGAACAACCCATTGTTGGGTTGCTGACACCGAATTGGTAGTTTTAACAAAATTTTGCATTTTTTGTTATTATTTTGAATATTATTATAGATATATATAAACTGTAAGCAGCAATAATGTTCAACAAATTAAGATCTACAAAAAAGTTAATATGACCATAATTGTCAATTGACCCCTTTAGGAGTTATTGCCCTTTAAAGACAATTTTACACAATTTGTTCATCAAGTTTGCTAACATTTAAAAATCTTCTCTGAAACTACTGGGCCAATTACCTTCAAACTTTAACTAAATGTTCCTTAGGGTATCTTGTTTATAAATTGTATCCGAAGTTTGTATCCATCGACAAACATGGCCGCCATGGCTAAAAATAGAACATAAGGGTCAAATGCAGTTTTTGGCTTATATCTCGAAAACTAAAGCTTTAGAGCAAATCTGACATGGGAAAAAATTGTTTAGTTGGTCAAGATCTATCAGCTCTGAAATTTTCAGACGAATCGAACAACCCATTGTTGGGTTGCTGCCACCGAATTGGTAGTTTTAACAAAATTTTGCATTTTTTGTTATTATTTTGAATATTATTATAGATATATATAAACTGTAAGCAGCAATAATGTTCAGCAAAGTAAGATCTACAAAAAAGTTAATATGACCATAATTGTCAATTGACCCCTTTAGGAGTTATTGCCCTTTAAAGACAATTTTACACAATTTGTTCATCAAGTTTGCTAACATTTAAAAATCTTCTCCTCTGAAACTACTTGGCCAATTACCTTCAAACTTTAACTAAATGTTCCTTAGGGTATCTTGCTTATAAATTGTATCCGAAGTTTGTATCCATCGACAAACATGGCCGCCATGGCTAAAAATAGAACATAAGGGTCAAATGCAGTTTTTGGCTTATATCTCAAAAACTAAAGCTTTAGAGCAATCTGACATGGGATAAAATTGTTTAGTTGGTCAAGATCTATCAGCTCTGAAATTTTCAGACGAATCGAACAACCCATTGTTGGGTTGCTGCCACCGAATTTGTAGTTTTAACAAAATTTTGCATTTTTTGTTATTATTTTGAATATTATTATAGATATATATAAACTGTAAGCAGCAATAATGTTCAGCAAAGTAAGATCTACAAAAAAGTTAATATGACCATAATTGTCAATTGACCCCTTTAGGAGTTATTGCCCTTTAAAGACAATTTTACACAATTTGTTCATCAAGTTTGCTAACATTTAAAAATCTTCTCCTCTGAAACTACTTGGCCAATTACCTTCAAACTTTAACTAATGTTCCTTAGGGTATCTTGTTTATAAATTGTATCCGAAGTTTGTATCCATCGACAAACATGGCCGCCATGGCTAAAAGTAGAACATAAGGGTCAAATGCAGTTTTTGGCTTATACCTCAAAAACTAAAGCTTTTAGAGCAAATGTGACAGGGGTAAAATTGTTTAATTGGTCAAGATCTATCGGTCCTGAAATTATCAGACGAATCGAACAACCCATTGTTGGGTTGCTGCCACCGAATTGGTAGTTTTAACAAAATTTTGCATTTTTTGTTATTATTTTGAATATTATTATAGATATATATAAACTGTAAGCAGCAATAATGTTCAGCAAAGTAAGATCTACAAAAAAGTTAATATGACCAAAATTGTCAATTGACCCCTTAAGGATTTATTGCCCTTTAAAGACAATTTTACACAATTTGTTCATCAAGTTTGCTAACATTTAAAAATCTTCTCCTCTGAAATACAGGTGAGCGATTCAGGCTCTTGAGAGCCTCTTGTTTATAATAAGTATAAAACAGAAATTTACACTCAATGTAGTAGTACTACGTTAAAAAGCACAAGGACGAGCAATATAGATTATTCGTGTTGACACGATTAGTGCTGTAAGATTGTAAAATATACTTCACTGATGAAAAACAAACTTATTAACATCTGTCACATGTAATAATTCAAAACTTCGATTCATTATCCCATAATTTTTTTTATAACTATTTGAATTAACTTTATAGTTACGAAAGCTGTGATTTTATCATTGTTTGCCTCTGGTGGTGTACAATAATGTGGACGGACATATTGTGTTTTTCGATATTCTGATAAATAATTGATATTGACGTGGTTTGGCCTTGGCAATGATACTTCATTAAGGTCCGTCATCAAATTTATATCACCGTTGGCTATTTCGAGGATATTCGAAATAAATGAAAATAAACAATTCCTGATAAGTCAAGGATTCACCCTTTTTCCTCTATTTTATCAATAGTTTTGCCTCGATGTTTGTTAATTCCCAATCACATAGTAGAGTTCATCAGAATCTTAATTTTCTACACACGATATCCACATTACAAAAATAAACCTTAGTACTTATATAAAGACAAATGTACCGTACAAGATTTGTCTAAATGTTTGCGAAAAAAATATGTCTTACCAATAACGGTAGTGAATTGAATGCATAATATCGTCTTTAACACGAATAGATATGGACCTTTTCAGATTATATTGACCGAAGACGAAGTTTTATAAAACAGCAGGTTTGTGATATGATATTAAATGAATAATGTTATTAGTTAAATTTGAACCATTCCATCAAAGTAATATATAATATCCGTTACACAAAGATGTCGTTAAATGAAATTGGATACCCTGCATGTATCATGCTTTTCAATAACATATGATCAAATCGCTGAAAGACCCCCTCTTAAATTATTAAAAACTTCGTCCTCGGTCATTATAATCTGAAAAGGTCCATATATATTCGTTCGAGGTTCGATATAATCTAACAGGTCCATATATAACGTATTAACGTCGTCAAAAGTCTATAATTGATAAATATTGGTCAACAATATTTACCATTACAGCCATCTTAAAGTAGTAAAGTGTAAGCATCAGTACAAAGAAGCTGAATCTCTATTCAAAAAAGACATCTCTAAATTTGAAAAATTAAAAAAATTCAAATGCTAAAAAAATCAACCATATTCTAACCAGACTTTCATTTTGGCGAGTTTTATCTAAAAAGTATGATACATCGATATGATATGTCAAATTTTACATCATTTCAAGGATAAACTTTATGTGTTTAGCGTACAGAGGTTTAGCACACCTGTTCAAGGCAGTGAGATGTGAGTTTTAAGTCATAACTAATTCATA